AAATAACAATAATATTCGAATGATGGTGTCTCCCAACTGTGTAAGCAATTAACATTGCCAGAAACAAATTTTAAACATCCTTCAGTTTAAAAAACAACGTCGTTTGTGAAAACAAATCAGAGAAAAAATTCAGTCTGATGTGGCATCATATTATAAAGGTGAAAAACACGTAGGCTACTAATAAGTGAGTATCATGAGTTGAGAGTGTAGATGTGCACAATGTATGTTGATCTGCAATGACACACAATGAAGAACGACCTTGGTTACACGAGGTAAACGTGAGTGTTTGTGCAGGGAACAGTGATCTTCACATTAATTTTTATCGTTCATGTTCAGGATTCAGCATGAAAGTAAACGTAAACTTATTGTGCTCTGTTGTGCTCTGTAGAGTACTGTTACACACTGCTGTACAATAATATGCACTGATGTGAACTGTTCTTACTACAGATTTTTGCATTCTCTAGTTGAGGTACTCTTTCTTGCTCAAAGGTGCATGGTGTAGTTTGTGTGTTTCTTACTGCCTTTCGATTAACAGTTATATCGCAGCAAGACTACTTTAAACGGGATGTATGTTACAGTGAAGATCACAGACACAAACTACTGACATATCTGTGATCAGCAGCTATTTCGAACATGTCTGTTCCTTCATCTTTCACAAAACCTGTCTCATCAACAGTTTCTTTTGAGTCGTCCTCCGGCCTTCAGTTTCATTCAGTGCCATCTACCCCTCCATGGACTTCTGCAGTGAACCCTTGTTCTCATCCTTATTCATCCATAGACAGCATGTGCACTCTTTCAAGTACCACAAATGAAGACCTCTTATATATCAGTAGTGTTGGCACACATCCTTTGACCTGCGAGGCGCTTAAACACTGTATTGCAGTCTTTCCGCAGATTTTATAAAGAGTCATATATGATGGCAGTCCTTTGAACATCTGAATAATGTCACATGACGTCATTGTAGGTGGATAGGCCAAAGTGAGTAATTAAGTCGATTGTTTGTAACTGGAGGCAGAAGGATACAAATGGGGATTGCTGTCTTCTGATAGCTGTTATCTTCTGAAACAACAGTCTTTAAGCAAAACGGTGCCCAACTATAAAAGAAACTCGGGCATAATTCAGCGATTTCAGCACACAATTCAGCACAGTGTGATCCTTCTCCGACGCCTGTGAGATTTCAGTACACACTATGATGGTGCAACCACAGCATGAGCCTGACCCCGGTCCCGTTAGTCGCCTTGTACGGCAAGCATTGGTTGCTGAAGACCAAGATCGTCACGGGTCCATTGATATAGTGTCCGAAATAACATGAGGAATCCAGGACAAAATGGTCTTGAAGATCATGTGGTTGTCGACTAATTAATAACCATACATGAGGAGGCTCTAGTGACTTTGCTGATTGTCGGACCATTGTTTGGTGTGGTGTTCACGCCATTCGCTGGTTGTCCTTATCCAACTTCCATACTCACTGTGATATACCAAGGATACTGATGTCTGTGGTGTGAACCAGCATTCGTTCGTCACACACAATTCAACATTGTACAATACCCTTTCCATAATAAATGTGCTATGAATATACTTAGAGAATAATAAATGAATATGCTATTTAGGTTTAAATTACCACGAAAAAGACAAAATTTGCTGACATATCTACATACTGTTCTTTCTATTCATAAGCGTGTATCCCCTAAAACATACGTGTCTGCATACAACACACTCACCAGTTACACAAACGAACTAGTGCCAAAATAGTGTAACTGAAAATAGCTTTTTGCTTTATGACACCTGCAATATTGACGTCATATATCCTTTGACCCCAGGGATATCTAACCCGAGACATGGCGCCATCTTGGATCACCATCGGTCATTCCACCGCTGCGCCCTTGAGAAGAATAATACGGGGGAAGGGAAACGACAGAGACGCCCACGCAATGGTCAATTGGAGAAGAAGAGAAATGCGCTCTCAGTTATCTCGTTTCTCCTCGGCAGCCAAATTAAATTGGATGTAGAACAATCGCTTGTTCCTGTATGCCTGCAACAGAGAGCGCCATGACGCCGCTGGGCTAAGAACCATCAGAGAAACAAGACAGAAAGAGATCGCATCCAATTCGGATCGATTCCAACGGGAACACGGAGGAGACGGGACACCAGATTGCATAACATGTCACTCTGACCTCAAATCGGTCACTTCTATTTATACTTCGGATCGAACCGTGCATACGGTCCGTGCGTGTTCGTATACTCCCGCTGTCTTAAAGACACAATCTTGTAATTGGAGAGGCCATACTACAAGAAACGTGTCACGCCCTGTAAGGCTAATCCTGAATGTTATCGTCTCTGATATGCAGATTCCATATGTCCTCTGCTGCTGAACGGATGTTCCTTTACAAGCAGATCACACGCCACAGTAGACACAGATCTTTTAAGAAACCAAATTGCGTAATGGCCGGAGAACTGAAGAAGTTACACGTGACTAGAAATTGCCAAAGGAATATCTCAACTAAAGCAAGACAAGAATTGAACTAAGGGTCATATCGAATGACAAGACGAATTAGAAACTTAAATTGAATATCGAATTATTTTAGTTGGACTGGCAGTTTGTAAGGAAGCCTGGATTATGGTGTCAATTTAAATGCGAACCCCGCCGAGAAGCCAGGGACTCAACACGCTTACGGTAACATACAGAAACTTTAATTAGTGATTATTAAGGAATCTACCGCTTCCATTGTACGTTAATTTTCCAGTATCTGGTTTTGAGCCTACACTAAACTGAAATATGCACTGAAAGATTTGCTGAATATATTTATGATTTGGTAAGGTATAGTGCTGATGACAAAAGCCTTTATATTATATTATGGCTTTCTGAATGACGGGCATAATCTATTTAAGACCCATATATACAGTGTGACATTTTAACTGATGATAATGGAAGAGGCAACCGTATGTACCCAATCAGGAAATATATTTCACTAAAGTATATAATTAAGAAGAATTAAGATGATCATCCATGAGATGTTACTGCTCTTTAACAAGAAATACATGTAAGTTGATAATCTTATATCAATTAATCTTCTAATAACTGCCAATGTCCCTATCGATCACAGTATTCCCTTCTCGGAGGAGTCTGTCCTTTTTCTGAGCTCGTATTAGATTTGTCCATGTCAGCACGCAGGTCTGGAAGTCTTGCTCACTGAGCTTGGTTGCCTACCCAAAGTCATAACACTTACTATGATATGTCCGTATAGATTGAGTGTAGATTGAGATTGGTGACGTCTTCATCATTAACATATCATCATGTTGTCCTTGAGTATATGTTGATGACTGGGAGACACATGCAGTCATTAATACAGCACCTAGTTAACTATCTCTTTGATTGGATATGTAAGCTAATGTAGAAACAATGTGTGTGCGTGTGTGTGTGTGTGTGTGTGTCTGTGTGTGTGTGTGTGTGTGTGTGTGTTTGTGTTTACTTCAATTGTTTCTGTCACTTTAATCTATGTAAGTTTCATTGTTGTGAAATATGTATTTTACTAAAATTCACAAGCCGTCATGTTTAAGATAAAGTACACGTAGGTACTGTAAAGTAAACTGAACTATCCATAAACGACCTTGTATATAATGGAGTCGGTAAAAGCAAACATCAATCCAGTCTTTTACAAAATGTTTCATAAAAAACTAAAACATATAATATGTTAAAATCCCCAACAAACACGAGGAATGAGGAGTAAATATGAATAAAAAGTTCCTCTCAGACAGAAAATCAATGTGGCATGGCTTAGCCCTGATTACGTATACGTAACCTCTGGTATCGTTACCTCGGCTCCAGCAACGTCACGATTTAAGAATGTACAGCATTAGTGTTAGGTATACCATATCAAAACGTCAATATTGCTTTTATATCCTTTTTAAATATCATTTAATGTCTTTATTCTCATGTATCACTACAACAGTCAGAACAAGTTCGGCCTTTTTCCAGATGATCAGGCCACAACTCTCATTTGCCATCCCACTCACGACAAATCGATATAACCACGTGGCATCGGACTGTGTAGACTAATTCCAAGACAAACCATGTTTGGGTTCCCTGATCGATTCTGGCTTGGGCTGTGGGATCCATTCAAATAGATACTGTTGTATAACAAAGTGGGCAGCCCACAATGCTGCTCTATGACGTCATTGGGGACAGAAATAAAGGTGGAGTGTTTTATATGTGTTTTCTGAATGAACCTCATACGCCCTATCACCACGCTGACAGAAGAGACAAATTAACTTTCAGAAAAAATAAAATTGTATGACGTCCTTTGTAAAATAAGAATAAATAATTGACGACTGTGTATACTTCTATTTGTGATAAAAGTATTCAAAATGCTTAGTCAATTCCTTTGTCAGATATTTCGCAAACAACAGTTCAAATATTGATGTTTTTCATGCCTCGGTATCACGCAAGTTTTACCAAATCATTTGGCTATTCTAGTACAAAGTTTCTTCGTGATAAAACTTCAAGATTTCACTTAATTCCTCTGTGTGTTCTCTCAATGTTTTAGTTTAGTGGCGTCATGGTATCGTATGACGTAATAATGGCTTCGATGATTTACTGAAAGTGATACTTGCACTTGTTTTCGTTCACTAGAGCAACTACCATTGTGATTTCGCTTAAAAATCCTTTTCTTCCTATATTTAATTCAAATATTCACGGAAAGAATATTTGAAGAATATTGGGATAAGCTAGTTTATTTTATGCAGATACAGTTATTTATACTTACTCACTTTTAGCAAAGATTATATCCTTCATAGCAACCTATTGTGGCGTGCCTGTCCAGAGTTGACACAAATAAACACACGGTGCCTGGCTGTCTTATCTCATACGACAGTCGTAAAGGTGAGTGATTAGATCATGTCGTGTCTAGTGTAACATATATTTAGTTACCTCTGGTTTATTCACCCTCAGCAACAAGAGATCCAGTTACCATCAGCTCATCAGTCTCACAATATGTTGTTGGAATTGGAAACATACATACAGACCCAGCCTTTGGCCTGAGTGGAATCGACTGATGCGGGATGGTTATTACACACATCAAAGTTCACAACACATTAGCTGAGTCGGACCTTTGTGTTCAGTAGTCATGCGATGACAGCCTCACAACCTTCACGTTACATTATGCGTGTACGGAACTGGTCGATGACAAGTAATTGTGCACTATAAACATTCTCAATTGGAACATTCGGTCTTCATGAATTGGTAAATCCCAGCAGCTGTTTTCCTTGTGATTTAGAGTCTCCTGGAGATATTCTGGTCCTCCTACAATGGCTTAAGTTGCTAATGGCTTGATACTTCCCTAAATCACCTCCTGTGTACTTCCTTCTTGAGTTCGAATCCAGGATGATCGTCACGCAAGCGCATAACCCTGACGTAACTCTGTGTCATCGCTCAGACCAGGCTATTCCAGCAGTGGAAAGTTTCTCGGCTAGTGTCCTCGATAACTGCATTAACAAGTAGAGAACAACCATGGCTATTTAAAAGAGAGTGAAGGATAAAAACAGACTCTAGTGGGTAAACAGTTGCTGCTAGAAATGGCACAATGCGCTTTGTTTGCTGTTTCGTGTCAGAAATAGATTTATAGATTTGATATGGAGATATAAGGGCGATGAAATACGTTGGTGTGTGTATTCACTGTGTCGAACCCATCAATGGGCGGTGACGTAGAAAGAGATTCTATATACAAATAGAAGAAAACATGGATACATCCTCCGAAGACGAGTCGCCTCCTCCAAGGAAGAGGTAAGTACATCTCCTGTTACAGTTACATTTCAACAGAAATGAAATTAACATGAAATTTACATTCAATGCATTAGCTCAGTGTAAACTAGGAAGCAGTTAGGGAGATCTATTTCTGATGGTGATGTCATGAATGGAAACCATGTTGGATAGCTCAATACCAGAAAGAGGTACATGTTGTATATTTCCTAACACTTGATGCCACTGGAATAACGTAGCGGACGACGTGTCAGGACTATCGTCATTTATGAGACTGAAGATGTATTGATTTGTTCCGTGCACTCGGTAAACTCAATATACACTGAAGCACAAAGGGATCAATGAGATGATCGTCATGTCTTCAAATGTTTCTAAATGCTTCCACAGTCGTAAAGCGCTCTGGGAAAGAATAAAGGACAGCTTCAGTTGATAATTACGACATTTTCCAGTAGGTCTGGTACTGCTTCGGTTATCATCGGTTAGAACGGATGTTAATATATCGCTCGAAAGAAAATGGTAAACTAGTTTTGCCGAGCAGCATCATATCATGAGTATATATGGTTAATCACTACTGCAATCAGGATTTTTAATACCTATATACCAAAATAAATACAATCTGTATGTACAAGTTTTGATATGGATTACGTACTTGCGATCTGTGTTATTCTCAGATTGATTGTTGCATTTTTAAATTACCCATTAATGGTAGCGTGTATTTCTGGTAAGGTTCGTTGTGTATTTTAAAGAATATACCACAGTATAGCATGGTGCATGATCTTTAAGACAAAGACGACGTGTGTCTCACTTATGTCTTTTGTATCCAAAACCCAAGAAACAGCTAGAAACATAGTACAGTGGAACCGTGCCCTTTAATATTTAACTTTCTATGATAAGGATTCATGTTACCAATTTGAATTATACATACATGGGAAAGGATTCAGTAAAAATTTACCAACTTCTTTTAAAGTTTTATACAAGAACTTATCCCTATTCTACTGCACCATAAAGCATAAATATCAGCTTTAACACAATGCCTGTTAATCAAAACTAATATTTATTAATCATTCCATGTCAGCCTACCCATATTACCACTTAATGAAAGACATCAATACAATTCACCAACGAAGTCATGACTTACTGAGCATGTTAGCCACGCAATATCAGGATGTCTCAGGTGTCACGCTTCCTCTCGCACTACCTACAGTAAACACGAAAGGACGTTCAAGGGCAACGGAGACACTACATAAATATTCTGATACGAGATGAATAATGAAATCACGAATGTCTTCTTGAACGTGTTCTGTGTCGCGGATCAGCTGGCGTTTCGGCGTTATATTGACGTGCCACCTCAACGTCGAACATTATATAAATACCAGCCTCCATAGGCCTGGTAGTGCACTGCCTTGCTTATGTATATCAGCATTTGAACATTCGTGCACACTTATCACATAAATATGTTTTTTATTGTAACTCAATACATTTGTAATTTACCACGTATAATGGTGTGTCTTTAATAAGTATATATTTTACGTAAATTATCATTTCCTTAAAATTCATTGTATTCCCACAGTTGGGTGAGATATATGAGTTCCTTAATATGTTTATGTTATACGACTCGCCTTCCCTAAGCAATGTTTCTCAGAAATAAAGCAGACATACATTTAGTGGCATTGTGTCGTCAGAGAAAGGTAAACAGTACTGCCTTGGTGATTTGGCAATAATAACATCACCTTATCTGCTTAGACCGTACTTCTCTGCCGTGCTGACCAAATGATGGTCTGCAGTTCTTCGAATCAATGCTTCTACGTCAATATCTGAGTAACATTGAATCAATCGCTTTATGGCATTCATTCATCGAGGAGTACATGACCCAGAAATAAATGTTCATATTTGTTTATTAGGTTTCCGATAGCTGTTAAACTATTTGGATGTTAACAGACCCTGCTCCGCGTTGACATACACATCAATCAGAACGAATAACACTTGGTCGTGTCAACTAGTGTGGGTGTGATGACATCTGAAATACGATCCGTTTGTTGATTGCGGACGTGATAGATTTAAGTGTCGACAATTACGGGAGAGGGAAAAACAACATCCGCCGTGTATGCACGAGCGTCACTGTTTCCCCGACTCCTGTCTCGTCGGTACACGTGGGCGGCATTCCATACAATTACCATACACGTTGGTAATCGAAATCAATATGTATAAGGTACATGTTTTGCAGCTGTGGTTGAATCGCCGACAGAATGGGACGTTCTTAAGTTCATCGCTCGCTCACTCACTCACTCACTCACTCACTCACTCACTCACTCACTCACTCACGCAATCACTCACTCACGCAATCACGCAATCATGGAATCACCTGCAACATGTGGTCAGCCAAAAACTTGAGACAAGGTTACCCAAGTCATTCACTCGCCATCCTCCAACGCACCCCAAACCAACAAACCTCAGACAAGGTTACCAAAGTCATTCACTCGCCATCCTGCAACACACTCTTAACCAACAAACTTGAGATAAGGTTACCAAAGTCATTCACTCGCCATCCTGCAACACACTCTTAACCAACAAACTTTAGACAAGGTTACCCAAGTCATTCACTCGCCATCCTGCAACACACTCTGAACCAAGAAACTTGAGATAAGGTTACCCAACTCATTCACTCGCCATCCTGCAACACACTCTTAACCAAGAAACTTGAGATAAGGTTACCCAAGTCATTCACTCGCCATCCTGCAACACACTCTTAACCAAGAAACTTTAGACAAGGTTCGCCATCCTGCAACACTCTTAACCAAGAAACCAAGGTTACCAAAGTCATTCACTCGCCATCCTGCAACACACTCTTAACCAAGAAACTTGAGATCCTGCCAACAAGGTTACCAACAAACCTCAGACATTCACTCTGCCATCCTGCAACACTCGCCTTAACCCAAAAACTTGAGACAAGGTTACCCAAGTCATTCACTCGCCATCCTGTAACACACTCTTAACCAACAAACTTTCAGACAAGGACAAGGTTACCCAAGTCATTCACTCGCCATCCTGCAACACACACTCTTAACCAACAAACTTGAGATAAGGTTACCAAAGTCATTCACTCGCCATCCTGCAACACACTCTTAACCAAGAAATTTGAGATAAGGTTACCAAAGTCATTCACTCGCCATCCTGCCATCAAACTGCATTCACTCGCCACACACTCTGAACCAAGAAACTTTTAGACAAGGTTACCCAAGTCATTCACTCGCCATCCTGTAACACACCCTTTGCCAACAAACCTCAGACAAGGTTACCCAAGTCATTCACTCGCCATCCTGCAACACACTCTTAACCAACAAACTTTAGACAAGGTTACCAAACTCATTCACTCGCCATCCTGCAACACACCCTTAACCAAACCTTAACCAGAAACAACTCATTCAGCCATCCTGCAAGGTTAACCAGATAAGGTTACCAAACTCATTCACTCGCCATCCTGCAAACTCTTCATTCAAGGTTACCCAACTCATTCACTCGCCATCCTGCAACACACCCTTAACCAACAAACGGGAGACAAGGTTACCCAACTCATTCACTCGCCATCCTGCAACACACTCTTAACCAACAAACCTCAGACAAGGTTACCCAAGTCATTCACTCGCCATCCTGCAACACACTCTTAACCAACAAACTTGAGACAAGGTTACCCAAGTCATTCACTCGCCATCCTGCAACACACCCTTAACCAACAAACCTCAGACAAGGTTACCCAAGTCATTCACTCGCCATCCTGCAACACACTTTTAACCAAGAAACTTTAGACAAGGTTACCCAAGTCATTCACTCGCCATCCTGCAACACACTCTTAACCAAGAAACTTGAGACAAGGTTACCCAAGTCATTCACTCGCCATCCTGCAACACACTCTTAACAAAGAAACTTTAGACAAGGTTACCCAAGTCATTCACTCGCCATCCTGCAACACACCCTTAACCAACACAATCATTTGACAAGGCAACAGTTAATGTAACGCCTGCTTTACACATTTTGATCATGTCGTTGTCAAATTTCAGTGAATATTTTGTTGATGTAAATAATTATTAGGATCAAGGTGTTGCGAATGTACACAGAGTATGAACATGATTGGGGATGTTCACATCATTATTCCCGCCATACGTCTCAAACTGCGTGTTGACTGGTTACGTTTCGGCCTCATAGGGGGTTTTCAGACAAAGCAGCCTGCACAAGCTAGCAGTGTCACCTAAATGCCCCGAAAACAACCAGAAAGATGTTTTCAGAAAAAACGAATACATGAGTAGCAAACGACCTATAAAACCAACAGCGGAGGTGTTGGCGCCAAACTAACGGGCTGAAGATAAGCTACCCCAAAATACGAAATATTTACGAACAGATATTTACAAATCAGAAGGTGGCACAGAATGGCCATAAATAAACAAGGAATATTTACATAGTACTAGTTTCGGTATTGTATGAAATCAAACATTAAGTTAATAAAACATCTACAATACATGGATACACTTGACGACACACATCAGATAACCTATATCAAAATAATTATGAATGATGAAAGCATACGTTTACTATTAAACTGTTAATGAATAAACTTCATGCATAACCAATTCCCCAATAACACCATAATGAACATCAAGATGCCGATCTGACAGCGATGAGCGCCGAGTCTTTTATGACCCAGTGACATGGATATATTGACGTCATATTATATGAATATCTCAACACATAAAGCTAACATACAAACGACAGCCAGCCATTTTAGTTCTACCATAATGGCAATCACTAAGTGTGCCTAGATGTTAACAATGGGTGAAGACACTGCCAAGAGAAGTGGAGATCTTGTTAAGTCTTCCACTAAACTAGGCAGCAAGCGTTTGCTGTTTAATTGTGCTTGACAACCGACGGCCCAGACAATGACGACGTACTAATAACGGCATCGTGGACGAAAGTAACTTACTGTAAATAACCCTGTAGAACAGTTGACCCAGGCGTTTTCCGGTAGTCATTGT